CGGAATTACGCGACTTTTTTTTTTACCCCAAAAAAAAAACCCAAAACTGAACCCACGAATTCCTTTGGCAATAAAAAGGGGGGGGGGGGCAAAAAAAAGTCATTTTTCCTCCATGACCTTCAAGGCGCTATAAGTTACAATTTATTAGATTTTTATCGGACATTTATACTAGCATATTATAGAGTATCATTATAGTATTTAATGTGCTCTTTAATATGGTAGTAAAAATGTCCGATAAAAATTTAATAAAGTGTAACTTATAGCGCCTTGAAAGTCATGGAGGCAAAATGACTTTTTTTTGGCCCCCCCCCCTGTATATTTCCCTTCCCGAACCGGCTCCTTCATGGGTCAATCATAGGTCTTCCGCAGCTTGCGATGGCGGTGAGAAGTGGTCACAGACTCGTCTGGGGCTAATGCTGTTTGGACGCACGCAATTTTGGCAGCGAGCTCATTTTTAAAGTGCCTAGTTCACCAAATCCGCTAAAACTTGTATATAGAGGTAATTCAACATCCTGATCACGAATATGACATTCATTTTTGGCGCTGGCGCTAATGGATGACACTACGATTACCTGCGCTCTGCTAAGGCTGAGCCCAGGAGGTAATCGTAGTGTCCTCTCTTGGCGCCAGCGCCAAGAATGAGTGTCATATTCGTAATCAGGATGTTAAATTACCCATGTATACAAGTTTTCAGCGGATTTGGTGATCTTTGCACTTTCATAAATGAGCTCGCTGCCAAAATTGCGTGCGTCCAAACGGCATTAGCCCTCGTCTGGGAGGATAAAAACACTGGCTTTCAGCCTTTACATCAGCCTCACTGTATTCGAAGCCACTACGATTACTCAATGATAGTGGAATACATGGCGCATCAAAAGGGACTCGTCAACGCCCAAGTTGTATTCCTTTGTCGTTCCATATTGATAAAACTGACCTTTCACACTCGGCACCATGATTTTCGCTCGGATCCTTCAAGGGTGTTCACGGGTCAGCTCCTATAGAGTTTCCTCAATGTCAATAATCCCCCCCCCTTCTCTCCTCTCCCTAGAGCGTCTTTCTATGAATCTCGGCATTGTATCGATAGTGAGGTTCCTGATTCAGCTCCAGTCGAGTTTGATGAATCGGCCTTATTGGCCTAGGTTCGGCGGGTCGCCTTCTTTGAAGCTCTGAATTTTTCTCATTGCTTCTGTCCTTTCAGAGTCTAAAAGAGGCGATCCTGCCGACATGAGCCAAAAACTTATTCACCAACTTCGTGTGAAGTTGAAGCCAGGTATAACCATTGAGAACTGTTATACCGCGTTATTCTCCGCAGTCTTTCCTCTTCTTTCATAAATATCAGGATTTTTTTCTAACAGTTCTATTGAATACAATATGTACTGTTTTCCTGGTCAAACAATTTTGATACATAAGATTTGTCCAGTAAAGTAAACAGAATGATACCCTTCTTGTAGCGGCGAAAAAAAGAACCACCTCGCGCATGAATGCACTCCCTAATCCCCGGGATTACTCAGTGCGATGCGTTCCCTAGGAAAAACATACTGAAGCCAGCATGAAGTTGGCTTATGGAGTGTAATCTCACTCGTTCTGCCTTATCGAGATCTTCCACAGTTTATCTCGAGTGTGGAACAATTTTGCTGGGTTTGCTTGCTTCTAAGAAACAGCTCCTTTAGAAGGTTATTCCTTCTCTTCTTATAGGAAGAAGGGGCACATACGCTCGCACAGCGCTCGCTCCACTGGACCTGTTTGATAGTGAAATAAGCTCAATATGCCCTATCTTAGGCAGCGTTCAGACTTTTCGCGCTGCAATTGCCGCGCTGCAGCTGCTAAAAAAAAACTCGAAACGTGAAAAACTACATTAAAATTCAATGTTCAAAGTGAAAAAGAAGAGCTAAGAATCAGGTAGAAACAGTGAAAAAGGGATTGAATACCGGAAGAAAGAACATAAAGGGAAGCTGGGGTCTGGTACAATTGAAGCGCGACATTGCAGCGCGGCAATGGCAGCGCGATAAGTCTGAGACTGCCTAATTAGTAAGAGTGGTCTTGTTGGCGTAGGAGATTGCGCACGCCTACGGCCTGCTAGCGAAGTAGGTTCGAGTCCCTCATGGGCTGCGTTTTTTTGCCCATAACTCGGCATTTTTGGGGTAGCTCTCAACATACGTTCGTGAGGCTTACCCATGTGTGACAGTTATGTTAGGATCGTTTTTGAGCCTTGAGAATCAGAAAAAGGCCCCTGGTACTGTCTCATTGTTGCTGTTGAGGTTCCAACAGCCGCGATGTTTTCGGACGCTGAAGATCGTCTGATGGTGGACCTCTTTCGAGGCTACAATTCCCTCGTGCAACCCACAACGACTTCACCCGCGACCGAACTGCCAATGATCATCAAGATTGCATGCAACTGCGTTTATGCTCATCAGCGGTGGTCAGTTGCGATCTTTGTGTATCCCCTTTCATCTCTTCAAAGGTTTCAGTCTGCTTTTTAGGATGAGAAAGAACAAGTGATGCACACAAACGTATGGCTTACTCTGGTAAGCTGAGTTTCTTCATTTAGTTAAGAGAACTTCTATTAATCAAGAGTATCATATTAATGTGGTTTTCGCTAGCTTTGATCATCATAAAATTGGGCTGTTGTCGATCTTGGGAGGGGTGATCTGCACACACATTGAGTTCATTGGTGCTATGTTCCTGTCAAATTAACACGTCAGCACGACTTAGGTTGCCCCATAGACAGGGTACGACCATCGCGTTGTGATCATATTCCAAAATACGAACTAATTCCCATGTCAATATAGACCCTCCCTTCCTCTCCCCAAGCTAGCTACTACAATACTTCCAGATTTATGTTGCCTAACTTCCCACATTTGTTCATGTCCCAAAATTTCCAGTTTTTCAACCAAGGATTTCGAAGAGCGGGGAGAGGTACAATGTATATACACAATGTGAAACAGGGAAATTTCTCAGATTTTCCCTACAATTTCGCCGAAAAATTTCTTGTTTACCCCACAAAAAATTTTGACTGTCGCAGCGGGGGGGATAGGGAAGGTCGTCAGGGTTTAACTATCATTTTCGACTATCGGAAATAGTAGTAGCATTGATCTTCGGCAGTCTTTCTCCACAACGACCAAATACGACCCCCCCCTCCCCGCGGCAAACAAGCTCCCATTGTGATCATCACAACGATGCCGTGCCCTGCTTGTAAACCCTTGTCAAGATTGAACGGAGCTACTGCTGCTGCATAGCTTCTCAAGAGCTTGCACTTCTCCACAGGAGGCGTCGGCAGCGACTGACGGGAACCAGCAAATTGGCTACCCTAAGGCCCTCCCGAAAATCCATAGATTATTTTTTCACGACTCATTACATCTCTATTTATTGTTTCAATTTTGTCCCCGCCCACGTAGGCTTCTTCTCAGGAATGGAATTGTTCGTCCAAGCCGCTGCTTGCATTTATCAGGAATTAAGTAGCAGCCTGATGTCGTGCTGTGGGCTCAACTCCTTGATGGAAATATTTCCTACAATGAGCACCCAATCTTCGCCCTGTAGCACTTATCAATTGTTTCAGAGGTGGCGCGATTTTCAATTGCGTTGGGAACCGAAGGACTACGACGGAATCACTCAGATTCGTGTTGCGCCCGACAAAATCTGGTTGCCGGACATTGTTCTATTCAATAAGTGAGTTGGCCCATGATTGTTGTGTTTCCATAAAAGGATAAAGGATAAAGTCTTCGCCGTTGATCAATCCCTTTGTGGGATGCGGCACGCATTCTACTTCCATTCAGAATCGTAGTGGCTTATTGAATGCGATGTGGCCTATACAATGACTTGCGGGGCCGATGTACAAGTCAGTGTTTTTATCCTCCCAGACGAATCTGGTACCAATTTACCGTCCCCGGAGGGTAGAAGGCTTGGTTGGCCTGGGCGGGAGTCGACCCGGGATTCGAACCCAGGACCGCGCGAGTGGTAAGCGCGCCACTTGTCACTACACCACCTCCGTCACGTAGTTATTCATGTGCTATCCTATCCCTAATACCAGCATATCTGGGCCTTGGGCTGTTGACCCACCTGAACTAGGCAATACGGTTCTTCTAAAGACCGGCAATCAGAATGTTCTTGGGAATGGGTAGGATATTGAACTAGTCGGGACAGCTTTCGGTGGCACGTGCTACCACTAAGTCTAGGACGAGCCGTAGGAAATTTAGGGCGAAGTCAAATGAGGGTTGAACTCAGCTATGGCTATAGATGTGGAGGTGATACTTCAATACATCCTAAGTGCGTGATACTTCAACACATCCTGGATGCAATTTGCTATCTAGATCTGAAAATGGAAACCACTAAGATGGGTCTTGGATGTCAAAAAATCTCTGCGGAACAGTTTGGGACCGGTGATTTGATGAGTTGTCGTCGTCAAATATCCGGGTTCAACCTCAGTGGCAGTGGGCACGAATGCTGGGGCGGGCCGTGACCGCCGACGTCATTGGTGAAAGGGCTGAATGAGAAATGGCCAAACGCTCCTTACCGGCTTTGTACCTTTGACGCTGGCAACAACCGCTCATCTCTAGCATTCGTGTCCACTGCCTTTGACAGTACCAGTAGCAATCGCTTACATCTTGCGCTTTCAGTGCCGATGGTAATTACGAAGTTTCGTTCATGTGTAACGCCCTTGTTCATCATTCTGGTGAAGTGCTTTGGGTACCGCCGGCTATCTATAAAAGCAGTTGTATTATTGGTACGTTTCTTACTGCTCAATTAGTTGGTCATCTGCTGAAAAGTACTGGCGTGACAGTAGCATGTGCTGAGCAGTACACAAAAAAAGAACAACAAAGATCATATATACCATTTTCACTTTAAAGACACATGGTACGCTCAAACACATTGAGGGTGTATGAGACTATCAGCCCCCCAGCTGTCGATGTGTCGTGGTCCCCCCGCCCAAACATGCCCAGGAATGGAGATACAGGACCGTGAAACACGCTAATTCCTCCATGCTCCGCCTTACACCTTTTTGCGGCGCAGATTCCCGTCCTTCATAACATCCGTCGTAAGCGCGCGTGTCGCGTGCGGCTCCTTGGCACTTTGCCAAGTCCTTTAATTGCGCTCTCA